AGGTTGGGGAAGGCTATTATATACTATGGTACACAGAATGTTTTTAGTAAGCTTAGGCCACTCTGTATGCCTCAAATCCACCCTCACCTGCTAAGAGACATCAAATTCAAGGGTATTTTATCCTGGATCCACAGACAGAAGAATTCCATGAGGATGAATTTTTAATTCCAATTTGCAATACAAACACAATAATCGTGTGACTTAAAACACACACACAACCTGGTCTAATTCTCAAAACAGAATTCTAAAAAGCATCTCGCCACATTCACCCATCTTTACTGGGGCCAATAAGAGCCTCTACCACTCTCCACCTTCCAGAGTTTCTTTATTCAGGGGAGCCAAAAGAGAATGCTCTGTGTATTTTCTGAATAGGAAATGCTGCATGTGGGCATCCATGCACATACCAGTGTGTGTACGGGATGCATATCCACTTCTAAGAGAAGCAATACGATTCACAGTTCCTATAGTCACGCCATGTCTATTTGTCCAGCCTGGTTTCGGTCATTATGTCTCTATTTGGCACATGCATGCTGTTAATGAACTACACCACTGGGCGTCACTGTTGTTCAATTCAGAGTTCAAAACGGCACTGTAAAATGTTAAAGCTTCTCTTGTCTAGCAAGAGAGAGAGGGAAGGAGGCTGACTGAGACAAAAGCAACAACCCGAGATGATAATGTGGTAAAAACTTAGGCAGCTGGCTGGAGAAAGAAAACTTGGAAGAAGAGCGGCTGCATTACAGAGGGAGAATAGGAAGCAATGCTGAGGACTGTGAGACAAGCAGGAATTATGGTAACAGGGCCAAGATACAGAAAAAGAATTAACAGGGAACAAGAAAGGAAAAGAGGAAAACATGAGACACAGGGAGGTCCTTACAAAGGAAATGTATTGCAGATGGGAGACATTTTTAACAATGGCAGGATTTTTATCAAATCTATGGCTCTTTTTAATTCAACCCATGACTTCTACTAATTGAATTAAAGAAAACTGAAGAATGCATTTGATTATTTCTCAAATATAAATACTTACATTCTATCTACCAAAAGTATTTTTACCTGAGGAAAATAAACTTATCTGGTCTGCCCAGCAACTATCAGACATAATTTACACCTACCAGTCATAAGAATTTCTATTCTTTTCTTTCATTCATACATACCACTAAACCAAAAAAATGAAAAAAGTGAAAGGGCGTACAATACTTAGTATTATGTCTTTGTTTAGACATGGACTCTGGCCTGCCATTCCTCTGACAGTGTTCTCACAGGACTTCTCACGTCATGCAAAGCTGGAGTGGGCTTGTCATGGTGTGTTACTCTTGGATGATAAGCCACCCGATAATCCATGGGGTGGTTTGACTCATGATGAGCCGTCATGTTATCCAAACCCAGATGACAGGTTGCATCATGGACCAATCCCAACTGCAAGGGAGCTGAGCTGCTTGTCAAGAGGAGAGAGAACTACTTGCTGCTCTTGCCAAGCAGCTAATGGGCGGCCACAATTGCCAGCCACCCCATGGTTCCAAAGCTGCACTTAGGGGTTGCTGGCAGAGGCTTCTCCCCATCCCTGCCACAAGCCATTTCTGGTTCTCTGCAGCATGACTTCTCCCTTTAAAACTACCTTTTTGAGACTGTGAAACCTGGCTGTCAAGTTTGCTTTTGCAATCCCCATGGAGTCCTCCATCCATGGGATTCCTCTCCAAGGACCCCTGGCTGCAACGCCCTGAAGAGGCTGCCCATGCTCCCTCCCTCCTTTGAACTGGCCAAATCCAGCAGGTACCCAAGCTATACAGTGCCTACCACAGACAGCAGGTATTTGTTCCCTTTGCAGGCCTCTGACAGGTTGGACATAGCCTGACTTGTACACCTGCTAGGAAACAGGGTCGGCAGGTTTGCACATCACAACAAACAACTAGTGTAACTGATGGCTGGTTACCACGATGGCTCTGGCAGAAGAACACTGTTTGTGGTCGTTATCATGGTGACCTTCCCACCCAATCCTGCTTCCCCTTCCAGGCACACATCCCAGCCACCATCAGTCTATGTAGGCAACCTGTTTATGATTGGCATACTGAGTGCTTCCCTCTGCCCACCAATGCAGAAATCATAAAGCCTTCCTTTTCCTTCCCAAAGCTAAATGATATCCTTTTTCCTGTTTGTCCCACTGGGGGGAAAAATTCTGTGTATGCTGCACTGCACTTCTGCACCTGTCTGTTTTCTCACTTTCACCTGGCTGTCTTTATCACCACAGAGATGCGTTTTCTCCCCACCCATCCACAGATATCTGTTCCTGGTGTCTCTAGTAGAAACTCTTCTTCACACAGCCAGTGCCCGCAACCTCAGTGCTTGTCACACACATCCTTTATGTTCGCCCTTCTCCCTCCTGCCTTTGTTCCCACCCTGGACTACTATTTCGCCAATAATTAACATGTCAATTGCCCTCTCTCACACTACCTGACCCTTTAGTCCAAGCAGTGGCTTCTGATTCTTGTCCCCCTCCCACAACTCTGTTCTTTACTTTTCTCCACAATGCACAAATATTGGGTGGGTTAAAAATGTGCACAATTATTTGCACACAGTATTGTAACCAATATTTTGAGAACGTAGTAACCACTGGCGGCCCATCCCAGGTACCCTTTAAGAGAGGCACCTCCTAGATGCTGCCACGGGAATAACAAAAGCGGGCTTGACAGGTAGCTCTCACTTCTCTCTTCCAAAACTAAAAGTCAAGCCAAACATGGGGAATGGAGTTGGCACACCTGTGGTATCTTCTGGGGTATCCTCTGCGGGGGGGGGGGGCTCAGAGGGAGGAGGTGGCACCCTACCCACGGTGCACTCAATTGCCTGTCGGGTGCATTTTGGGGGGCTTATAAGCCACATAGTGTAGCTTGTTCTGCAGTGCGGCTTGTTATGTCATCCAAGCCTGCCCACTGCAACACTAAGTTTTTCTACCATGTTAACTTTGCTATCATTTGAACCACTTCCACTTGCAGGAACGGCCAGAACAGGCACTGTGTTCATGAGCATGCTGGCTGTTGCAGAGAAAGAAGAACTCTCACTAACTCCGGGTCAGCATCTTCTGCGAACCCAGGCAATGATTTACGTGAGCTCCTCCTCCAGATGCACAGCACCTTGATTTACCACAATCCACCCTGGGATGAGGGAGTTCAACAGCAAGGTATCACCAGACCAGTTAGGGGAAGGCAGAGCTAATTCCATGGATGAAGAACCTCCCATATCTTCTCTTTAAATAGTATTTATCCACTAGGGCATGGCTGTTGCCACGTTTGGGAACCAGCAGTCCAAGCTCCGCATATGCAGGCAGCACCCTCAGTGCCAAAAGAGGCTCTTCACTACCTGCCCCTTTCAAGGTGAGGATACTAAAGATATGAGTGATGTTGAAGATAATAAGTTAAGGTGCTAATTCCTCTTTCCTGTTCTTGAGCCTGCCATTGATTAGCTGTTCAATGGTCAGGAAGAGGAAGCAAGGCAAAGGGGTAGAAGGAAGAGAAAGTAAATGGCTAGAGGATAGGAGAAGGGAACAATGGCAAGGTAAACTTGTGTGGCGAAGCTAGTGGGCAAGGCTGGATAGAAGCTAGGAGAGAAAAAGTAAGGTAAAGAGGATCAAGAGCAAAGCCAGGGTCTAGGAAAGGAGAAAAAGGAGGCGGATAAGCACAGAAAACAAAAGTAGCAAGGAAAGAGGTGCTGGGGTAGAAAAATAGTGAGGCTAGGATCTGGGAGCAGAAAGAAAGAGCATGTGCAGAGCATGTACAGAAAGCTGGATTTCAACACATGGGGCTGCCCCCTTCACTTCAGCACCATGAGAGAAGGAGTGGCATGCACTGGCATTGTTCCTGCTGTCGAACAATTACAAAGTCAGTGGACCCCAGCTCTGTATCAATCTGGCAACTGATACAGTTTACATCTACCTGCCAATTCTCACTAAATGCACTACAAAATCTATCAAATAACAGTTCCATTGAAACTTCCATTGAAATGAACACTAAGCAAATGATTTATTATTTTCTTTCATGTAAAAAAAATCAGGAAGATGCTGGAACAAAGTAAGTGAAGTGCTAAAACTGAATACCAAAGGCAACAGTGTGAACATTCAAAGGAAAGATTATGCTCTCTTTGTCTCTGCATCTCTGAGAATTTTTATACTACCTTTTAAAAAGAAAGCTGTTTATATGATAAAATCATGATAAAATACAGTAAAACCAGCAATTAAAACAATAAAACATGGCTGTATAAAAATAATTATCTCAAGGGGGGAGGAGGAGGAAGAAGATGATATTGCTTTCTCCTGGTTCATAAAGTTCATTCTCAAACATTACCCATGTATGCTGCCTATCTGTGAAGTTGGATGTTTCTTAAAACTTAACAAGGAGCAACACAGGGGAAAAAGGCTGAGGAGCTTTTGAAGGAATAATATTTGGCAACAGATGCAACATAATATATTTCTAAAAGATTACATATTGCAAAAATAAAGGCAGATTAGCAATTCTTCCTTCAATGAGCTCACAAAACACACTCTGAAAATATTCTCTTGCATGTAGAATAGGCACTGAAACATTATACCATGTAACAAGCCCACATACAATACCTTGCAGGTCTTCCGCCCCCTTTGACTTTTCCACATTTTGTTGTGCTACAAAATGGAATTCAAATGGATTACTTGGCATTGTTACCACCTGATGTAAGCAAGATCTTCAATACCACCAGGGTACAAAATACCAAAGTACAATATTGTAAGTAGTTGAGTGGAGTCCACCTGTGAGCAATCCCATGCCACATGACCTCAGACTAAATACAGCTGTTGCTGGAAGGCTCCGGAGTTTGTTGGAGAGTACAGCTAAGCAAGCAGCATCATGAGCTATCACAGAGCTATCAAATTAACTCTGAGATAAAGATAGGCAGAACCTATCATGGTTGGAATATAAAAAAATATCCCAAACTATAAACATCTCCCACAGCACCATTAAATCCGTGATTAAAAAACAGAAAAAATAGCTAAATCACAACTTTTCCACGAGAAGGCTATCTACCAAAACTTGGTGATTGCGTATGGGGAGATTAGTCTGAAAAGCACCCAACAGGCCGATGGTAACCCTGAACTGAGAAGGGAGAAACTGTCCATGAGATAACGATCGCTTGGATGCTCCACAAAGCAGGGGTTTATGGAACATTGCTCATGCATGTTGACTATCTGTACAGCAAGAGTGTTTCTTAAAACTTAAGAAGGTGCAGTGCAGGAAAAGAGAGAGAGAGACAGCTTTTTAAGGATCAAGCGTTGGCAACAAATGCAATGTAAGAGTTTTAAAAAACATTACTTAGTTGGGAAAATGGTGAGAAAGAAGCTATTGTTGAAGAAAAACTCCCATTAAAGCCCATATGGAGTTGGCAAAAAGGCACGAGGGAGACACAACAAACATGTGGGATAAGATGCTCCACTCTGATGAGCCCCGAATAGAGCTTTTTGGCCTTGCCGAAAAAGGCTGTGAGTGCCAGAAAACCAACAATACTCACTGCCTGAAAATGCCACTCCCACAGTCAAGTGTGATGGCAGCATCATGTTCTATGGATGCTTTTCCTCGGAAGGAATGGGGAAGCTGATGTGCATGGAAGGCAAGATGGATGGAGCCAAATTCAGGGCAATTCTAGAGAAAAAACTGTGTTGGTCTACAAGGAACTTGGTATTGGGATGGAGGTTCACCTCCCACCATGGCAGTGACCCTAAACTCAAGCCAAAGTAACACTGGAGTGCTTTCAAAGCAAGAACCTGAAAATCTTAGAGTGGCTGTCAAAGCTCAGATCATAGTCAGACTGAGAATCCGTGACAAAACTTGAAAGTTGCTGTTCCCCAAGAGTCCCCATTCAACCTGACACAGCTGGAGCAGTTTTGCCAGAGCACATGAGCAAACACTAAAGGATCCAGATGTGCAAAGCCAGTAAAAGATTAATCCAAGAAGAATAACAACTGCAACTGCTGAGAAAAGTATTTCTTCCAAGTATTGGCTCAGAGGAATGAATACGTACGCAATCAGTTAAGTACCGGTTTGTTTCTGCTTACTTAACTTTTGTGCCACAGTAGAAATATTTTATTACTATAAAAAGCACCTTTTAACTGTCTGTTTTTACTACTGTTTTTACTACAACTACTGTTATTGATGAAACACCTAAAATGTCAGGCACAGTGCAATGAGTTAAAGGTGAGGAGAAAAACTACCTACGGGTTTACAGTGCTTGTTATCATCACTGGCATCATTTTTAAGTCCCTATTAGAGCAATACCTTTATGAGGCCAAACAAAGGTCACAAAAATGTGCAAACTTTCAAGATCTCCTGATCTCTTCATAAAGAAAAAAAGCAGATTATGGGGTGGGGGTGGCATGGGATAGCAGAGAAAATGAATGTCACTCAATAATGAAGTCACAGTGACCTATTTAAACAGTCAAAACAAGGAACCACAACTTATTAAAGCCACCGAAGCTTGTTCAGATTGGTGGCATGTGACAGTCACTATTAGACTAATTACCCTCCTGAATGTGGCTTGTCCTGTAGTCCAAATCTGGGCAGCATGGACTGTTTGCAGGAGAAACAACCCTCAAAGAACCCATGACTTGTTGGGCTTTCTCCCCATCAGACAAGCCATGACACTAATGCTTGATCAAATGACAAGCTCTGTCTGGACAGTTAAATAATAAAATGGCAGCTGGAAAATGCTGGGGATTGAAACAAGCTACCATGGCTTATTTAAATTTAAGTAAGCTACGGTGACTTGTCCGAATATGTGAACTGGCCCAGTGTCTGGCTGTTCATGATCCTATGGTAAAGTGGTGGAGGAGCCATCTGCAAACAGATGGATTGGGCTCTAACAGGTCATGTTAGAGTTAAACTTCTACCCTGGTAAAGGGGATAATACTACACAGAAAAGAGAAGAAACTCCTCTTACATCCCGGCAACATGGACATCGAGTACTGTTCTAGCATGCTTCCAACAGCCTCTACCAAGATTACCAGCTGCTTTCAATAGCTGATAACCCATCTTCCAATTCTCACATGGGAGAGCCCTATTCACTCCTCAGTGGTGCAGTCTAAGAAACTGCCCCTTCTGGTCTAGATATCTGCCAAGGGATTACCACCCTCCATCTACAACTGCAGCGATATTCCCAGCTTCAGACTGAAAATGCAAAATGACAATAACAATAACTTACCCACAATGACTGTCTTGAGCACATCATGTACTTACTTTCACACCTGAGATCCAAAATTTCCCATGATCCATTTCTGGTACAGAATGAATGCCGTTTTATGCTTGTGGGGTAGGAATTATTTATGCATTTGTACTCAGCAACACTCCCCAGTCGAGATGTCCTATTCCATTTTATTTCTGAGTTAACTATTAAAGGAGGTTTGCCACAACTGATTTCTAAAAGGAATCAAAAAAATACTTTAATTCGCACAAAGTACAAAGGGCATTGTTGTTGTGATGTCTGAGTTGCCCTAAGAAATGCCCTAATATAGATTTTAGAACTTAAATTCAGAAACATCAAATTATAGGAGAAGAATCATCACTGTCATTGCCATCAAAATTATGAGTTGAAATGTTAACATCAGGTTGTGCCAGAAAAACCACAGCTAGAAGTATGTGTGGGTGTGTCATAATTTCCATTTAGTACCCTTAATTATTCATAGACACATTTGTTTGAGAAGTAGAATGGATAAAAGGCTTGGTTACAACTACAAGCATTGGTATCCAATAGTCTATGATTAAAATATGTACCACTGTGTTTGGCCAGTCTGAGGCTTTTTAAAATGGCACCTTTTGAAGGGGCGATGCTCCTCCTACAGCATATGCTTCACATGCAGAATATCCCGGAATTAATGCCCCGCTTTTCCAGATAATAAAGACTCCTGTAAAAAGCCTACAGAGTTGCCCATCTGTCAGTACAGATCATATGTTGCAGGTAAGCCTACCAAATGTGGTGCCCAGCAGATGACACAATTCAAAAATTCATGGTTTGGTCACGTGAAATAGCACCACACGGAAAATGCTCCCATCCAACTCGGCGGGCTTCTGAAGGGGCAAGTCAAAGGTATCCATCCATTGTAAATACAGGTTTTTATACCCAACTACAAATAACAATCCTCTTGTCAATTGTCAAAGCCATGGACTGCTGCTTTCAAATGCTCTGAGGCAGTAACAGGGGAAACAACTGGGTCCTTGCTCTCAAGGATATTCAAGGAACACAGTGAAATTTATCTCTCTCTCTCTCTCTCTCTCTCTCTCTCTCTCTCTCTCTCTCTCTATCTGTGTGCATGAGAGAGAAATCATTGTGCCTCCTCTCTGATTTCCATAAACAAATACAAAATGTGAGCTGACAATGAGTCATTAGAATGTATGAAATGGGAAACCTCTTTCAAGGATGTACTTTAAAATGCTTCCCCTGATCCTGAATGTCTAGTACCAGGGAAGATTATTTTAGTTCTTTTGCTACAGTTAACAGGAACAACAATGTATTTTGAAGAGATTTTTTTTCTTCAGAAAAAGAGCATGGTTATGCTTCTCATAAATAAGAACTGTTTTAAAACACTTACCTTTGCATTCAAACGTAATGTTTTCCCACTTCTGAGAAACCATACATTGTGAAAAATTACGTTCGCCAAAATAATGAAATCCCTCTTTACATTTATAGTATATTATGCTCCCTACAGTTGTGGTATTATCCCAAATAACATCTGTGTTTGGAAACCATAGTGGTTTTCCACAATGTATTTCTAAAAGGAACAAGAAAGAAACATGACAGTGTTAACAAGTAATACAGTCCACAGTTTGACAAGCAGCAGGATGTTTTAAGAGCAGCCTTCAACATTATCTAGGCTGACTTCTGCATGTGCTAAAGAACTTCCTCTTCCCACCACACCCCCTCAGACCTTCCAATCCTCTGGGACAGGTTTTGGGGCACATGTGAAAGGCTGCAAAAAAAGAGCCAGCAATGTTTCTTAGCCTAGCAGATACACACCAGTGTATTTGGTCATTCTGTTGTTTGCTCAATTCCTACTTGTTAAGGTAGTAAATGCTCTCTGATTGACCAGAGTAAAGTTTGTTCAGATCTCCAAACTAGGACCTTTATCCACTGTGACCAGCTAAAGGTCTCTTATTAGAATGACAAAGAAAGAAGCATGGCATAGTGTTGAGACTATGGAAGCAGTTAAGCAGTGATTGCATTCAGTCAATGGGAGGAAAGCATCCTATCCTATCCTTTATTTTATTTTATTTATTTGAGAGATGCCCACTAGCATCATGCTCTCTTCAGCTCAAATATCAAAATGTTTTTGGCTAGTCATGACAGCAAATGAGCAAAACATCACTGACAAATTTCATTTTACTGTAACATCCACAGAAGTCCACTGGAATAAAACCACCAGAAAAGAAAGTAGTGACAAGACCAGGCACAGCTTTATTGTCAGGCATTTCAAATTGCTGGAGCCGTAACAGGAAAAAGCAATGTCTCTTGTATCCACTCACATACCTGCTAGTGGAGAACCTGAAGCAGGTTTTCAGAGGTGTGTCTCTGTGCTTTGGCAAGTTCACATAGGAGGCAATGGTATCATTTAAGGCTTTAAAAGTCAAGATTATAATCTTGAATTGAGCTCAGAAACAAATTAGTAAATTATGCTGGTGGTTTAAAATAGATGTGATATAATCCTAGCCAACATATATGGTTAAAACCCTGGTACCTGGGAAAGATTCTAATTTAGATGGGATTGTCCTTGAAAATATCTCCAAGTGAAAAGGGCCTGAACATCTGTAGCCACATCTGGCTTCTCCAAAAAAGGGCACAGCTGGTTGACAAACCAAATATGGTAGAGTATGGGGTGGAAAAAACAACCCAATCCAAAACAGACTGTACGCCTACTCCAAATGGCTTCTTTTTTAAAAGAGGCTTGTAGGCGGTTTAAGAGTGGCATTGCTTCAAGTGATGTATATGCTCATTGCTTTCGTTACACTATCACCTCTGCTCAACACACTGCTTTAAAAATAAACTACAAAGTCAGTATACTGAACACAGAAGTGGGGCGAGTATATCACATCACAAGCAGGGATCTCTTTTACAAACAGTTTTATCTTGCTGCAAAGATGCAAAAACTTTCTCCAATTTTTTTTAAAAAAACAATACAGTATAGATCCAGGTTAGGATGCGGCTTTCATCCTCTACGAAATATGAAAAAGTATTTCTGTTATGCACTAACTTGCCCCTTTATGCCAGATTTGAAGCTAGCTTGCCCAGCTTTTCCCAATCTAGTGTTCTCCAAATGTTTTGGCCCTCAACTCCCATCTGTCTCACCCAATGGTCAGGTATGCTGGGAGTTGCAGTCCAAAAGATCTAGAAGGCACTAAGCTATAACAGGTTAAGTTGTAGAAGTCATGAGCTACAGCAGTGATCCTTCAAGTAATACAGTGATAACAGATTATTTTTAACAGACTTTTTATCAGATACACACTCCATATTTTTAGTTGTTAGATTTTAGATGTTCTATTTTTCTTCTAAATGTTAGTAGCTTCTCAAGCACAGTGAATTCTCAGTCATGCATCATTTACTGCCAGTATTACACTGGCACAAATCTGAGTTGGTTATGAATGTGCCACTTATTCAGGAAAAAACTACATGGCCATACATCCTGGTATGACCTACCCCAAGTGTGTTGAACCTCTTACAACATGAGGGATAAAAAGAAGTTCTTGGTGGCCATGTTCCCATAGCGAACAGGAGCAAGGGCGAGGGCGACAGCTCAGGGCCAAGAATACTAGCATATCGTACATTAAGGCTCTTACCACCAGTAACTAAGCCCTTGGAGAGGCATTTTAATCTTTAGAATGCAAAAAAACCCAAAAACCACCCAATAATTGGTAGTCTGGGTAAGGGAATAGGACCTAGAGAAGGGGGCATAGTCATCTGGAGAGTCTCATAAGGCCAGATTGGGCTGATTTTCTTTCACATATGCCCACAATTTATGTAACACAAGCTGCCATTATCATAGAAATAAAAGCTGTATTCGGTAAATATTAAAAAGGCTTGTTTCCTTACCCTTGCACACCATATCAGCTCCTTCCCATTGTCCTCTGGAATTGCAAACTGCAGTCCAGTTTCCACTTTCAATAACATAATTGGGCTGACAAGTATAAACTACTTTGCTTCCATAAGTTGTTTTGTCAGCAGGAGTTGAATATGCATTTGGAAGAGAAGGTGGAGGCCCACAATCCACACCTGCAGCAAAGTGGAAAGAAAAGGGGTTGGGGAAAATGAAATGGCGAAGCCCTGCAAAATCTGTGACTGTAGTGAAACGGAAACATTTGGAGCGCAGGAAAAAACCTAAGGCTGAATTGTTCGTGTTACATGGAGGCAAACCTTGCCTTTCCTGCAAGTACTAAGAAGGGAGCCGTGGGCAATCTGAGCTGTTTCATGAAAATATCTGCAGGATTCGTGCGCTTGCAAACAAGTACTTGTTACATTCAAAGCATTATACTGTTACAGAATTGAGGTGTCAATCTGTACTCAATTACTTGGGAGTAAGCCCAAAGAACTCAATGGGACTTATTACCAAGTAGGCACATGAAGCAAAACACTGCAAACATACAGGGTGAGGCAATTAAAAGTTACAATTTCAAAAACGTCCCTTTTCTTTTTCCTTCTGTTATTCAAGAAAATTTCCATCATGTTTTATTCATAAGGGTCTCTGATTTCTTTTATATAAGTTTTTTTCAAATTTTATAAAAAATAATTTAATTTTAGCTTATTTTGTTTTAGTCAATTTTTATTTTGCAACTTTTAATTGCCTCATCCTGTACATTATATATAAATGTGTACAATGCTGTTCCAAGCCCAAGCCTAGTGCCAGCTACAGGCATGGCTGGGCAAATGCCAGGCCTCCGCAGGGCCCAGGCAACAGTGCTGATGCTGCACTTTTTCCTGAATTTAAAAAAAAGAAGAAGGGCAGCCTGGTGCTGCCGAGGAAAGCTGTCATGGGATCCAGAAATATTCCAACCAAATAAATATGAAGGTGGTTCCTGCCACTACTTCTCCTCACCTAATGCTTCTCACCCACTGAGAGAACAAGTAGCATGCAGGAAAAATCCCTTAATATCTCCAATCAAGGATTGGAAATAACCTGGGGATTCCTCTCCCTTGCCAGCACGTGGAGTGGGCCACTGAAAGTGCCTAACCCTCCCTGGGCTAGACTGGGGGTCTCCTGCGACATTATTCTCACAGGCAAGAGCTTCATCGCCCCCTGCTAAGGGATTGGATATTTATGTCCCAACTGTACATATTAATGTTCTTGCTTATGTGCTAGTTCAAATCTTTGACAGTTGCACAATTCCCTTGAATAAGCATTTTGCCTGTTAACAGTCTGACAATGATTATTTCTACAACGCTATTACTATCAGTAATATTCTGAAGTATTATAAATTCTGGAGTTCAGCTCTCAGGAGGTACTTTCTTATTTAAAATAAATCATCAGAAGCTGATGCCAACTCCTCTCGGTAATGTGGCAAAGTTTCAAACTTCACTAGGACACTGTTATTATTTTCATTTTTAAATTTTAGGTGGAAACATTGAGCCTATTCAGTCATGAACGCTATTGGCACGACAGTAGAGAGGATTCACATGAGCGTGGCATAATTTATGCAAGCGCTTGAGCTGAACAGGGCACTGACCCAACTGTGGAAAACAAACCTTGTTGAAAAGTAAATGAGAGGTTTCGTGACTTGCTCCTAACTGATGCCAGAATTCTATCAGGTTTTAGCATCAGCTTAATTCCACCTGAAGGGAAGGCACTAGTCATGTAGTTCAAAATCTCCTTGATGCCTACCTGAGAGTCAGCAGCACTGAACACAGTGGAATTTACTCCTGAAAAAACATCTTTTGAGATTTTGCTGGCAGTCACATGAATATTCCAGGGAGACTAAAAACAGCATGCTTCAACTTAACGTTTAGAAATAAAAATAAATGTTCAATTCACTTTTCAAATGCCTCAGATTTTAAGTGCATTTTAAATTTAAATTTTAGCATTATTTGCTGCTAGAAAGGAGCAAGACTCTGAACACAAATAGCATTATTTATGATTATTCATAATAATTCCTAATGCACTTTTAAAGTGTGAAGTGCTCTAAGCAGTGCTTTTTTTGTAAAAAAAAAAAAAGGTGCCGGAACTCACATCCTGACAGCAGTAAGCATACACACCAATCCCAAGCTGAGCAGGGAGCAGCCCAAGCAGCTATCTCTCACTATCAGAGAGCAGATAGCAGACACAATAGCAGCCTGCAGGCACTATGTTAATGAAGTTTGCTGCTGATCTGCTACTCCGTTCAAAATCACTTCGTAAAATCCATTGAAAAAAAGGTGCCGGAACGCCATTCCAGTGCGTTCTATGACAAAAAAAGCACTGGTTCTAAGGATACTAATACTGGAGGCCTACATTACAGTACTACTGTAAGGATCATCAAAATAAAAATAGACAAATACCTTCCAAGAGATAGAAATGCACTACATACAAAGCGTCAAGTTTTACTCTTTTGCATTTATTTTACCCTTCCTGTTTCATAGCCTGAAGATGAAATATTTCTACTGATAAAGCAAATCTGCTGCTGTAAGAAGCCTGGATGACACAGTACCTGGAGACCATAGGTACTCCACTTTGGATGTCTTGGATGAACAGCAGAGTATAAGAAGCAAAAACAATAAAATAAGCTGAGGCCTGTGAAGTGGAAGAAAGTGTGAAACGTCTCATTTCTGAGTAGGGATCTGAACCAAAGATATGATGCACAATGTTACTATAGTTAAGCTGTAGTTGTCCTCAATCTCAGTATGTTTGGTTTGTACCTGCTCTTCATACTACACAGATGTAGTCCAGTGGTGTTGCTTGCGCATTTACCATGCCTATGCACAAACATTAATACAGGATGAAGGGACAAGAGGCACAGCAAATAATAATAGGCGACATAGCAATCTCCTTCTTCAACAGCAGATCTGCTTGTGAACATCTCCATCTTGCTGCTTAAACTGACAGGATGGACTACTTACAAGCAGACCTGCTTGAAAATGTGTATGACTGTAACCACTTTTAATCTCAAGTGGCAACATTCCAAGAACGATGCTCATCAGTGGCCCTGTCACCACATCATGAAGAAAAGAAAATATATTTTCTTGGAACAGAACCCCAATGTGGAACTTGGGGGGTTCAATGTGGTCCTCCGAGACCACAAATGCCTGAGATTTCACATTCATCAATATCTAGAAAGCGCAATATGTTTGTGAAATCATTTTCTTAAGTCTCACAGAAATATTATGAACATGATAGTGAACAGACACCCAACATTAGTTAGTATTAGAGCTTATAGTGCCGTTCAAGATGGATAAAAAATAAAGGCAAGTACATCTCATCATAAAGCTTTAAAACTCTCATCCCAGACATGTTAAACCTACACTTGGGAAGCAATCCAATGTACCCCACCACCAGTCCACAGAAGCCACAAGGCATATATTCAGAGGCTTACATGTATGAGCAGAGGAAGGTGTGGTAGCAGCAACCTTGCAGTGTGCAGGGGGACAGCCAGCTGGAGCCATCTGGATATGGAGTGAACCATGGCCTTGGCCTCTGCTCCTCCCTATCCTTGGCGTACCCCTTTCACCCCTCTTGTGACCTTGGAAGGGCAGTCAATGAAGTTATTTTTGCATTCGTTGCAAGGTGGCCAGGTGCTTGCCTTTCCAATCCTAAGGTCACAGGAAGCATAATCATAATCTTATGATTATTCCTCCCCCAACGGTGTCAGGAGCCCATAAGATTCATGATGCTATGGGGTTGCCCATTTCCCCCTGAACTGGGATAATTTGGGCATCCTACGGAGTGACCTTCAAACAGCAAATGGCAATAAGACTTACACCTGTGTCTTACATGTCTGAATTTGGTTTGACAGATGCTTGAAGAATTGCTTCAGGTATGTGTGACTTACTATACATTTGTTTCACCCATATGTCAGAACTGCTTTTAATTAGATTATTTCTTGTTCTCTAAATCTTTCATAAGCCAAAGTAAAGCTTGTAGTATTGAAACACTGATGATTTCAGGCCATGTGGCAGTCTGCCCCCTTTGAAGTCACAATTTTCAGATTTGCCTTGGCCTCCAAATTTTTGACTCTTTAATGATTCACATTTTAGAGACAAGGTGTTTGAAACTTGAGACACTTATATACCGCTTTGATATTTCTTCATCCACACAGATTTAGAGTTGCAGAATGTTAAATTCAAGTTGCATAATATTCTTTCAAGGCAGACTGCATTTTAACCTGCTTACAAAAGGCTTACTGGGAGAATGGGGAATGTCCTATAAGATTTTGGCATACCATATATCAGAAACACAGAAATGTAAATATACAGATTAAAGGTGAGAATGATATACTCCTATTCTGCAATTTTAAATTTACATTTTTTAGTTTTCCAGATACATAGAGTTAATAAGATATCAGGGCAGAATATGAATGCATTTTCCCCAAAATAAACTTCCATGTATAAGATTCCTCAGGACAGCAGTTTCTTTTAACTCCTGGGACATCACCTGGAGTAGACAGGTTTCCAGCTAAACGTTATAAAGCAGGATTAAGAGGGATTTATTAAACACCATCAAGGGGGTGGTAATCTCAGATTGCTTGTTGACTTAATTGCATTAAACTTAATTGCATTAAACAGAGAGCAAGCCACTATTGCTTCTTTGGATGCTAAAAACAAAATCCACTGGAAGTGTATTTGCATAACATTGATAATTCTGGCTTTCTTGTATTTATCCTTGGGAGGCAGAATTACAGCTGCGGACTACCTCTTCCCATTGAGGAGATGGACTGGGCTGAGATGTTCCATGCTCTCTCCCCTCTCTTCTCCTGCATAAGAGGCTTTCCCTCCAGTGGAAGCAGGGAAGAGGGACCCCACGCTAGGCAGGGACACATCTAGAGGGGAACAGCCTTAGCTAGCCCAGTCCCCTTTCCCTACTCAAGAGAAGAGAATGCAGAGGAATCAGCTGAGCAGCAATGCCACTTTCCACAGTACTGCTCAAATGATTGTCCCCTCCTGGGCCTCAAGGTGGATCAAGCACAGAATGGATCAGGTCTCTGGACCAGGAGGTAAGGGTGCCTGATCAGCTCCCCATCTTCTCTGCTTCAGGGCACAAGCCCTGCTTCTGCAGCAGAGACAGCATTACATTTATGGCAAGCCAAATTCGGTTTGCATTTGCAGCTGTCCAAGAGAGATGACCCATTTCTCTCTGTGGTGTCCCCTGAGATACCATCTGGGAGCATGAGAGACAAGGAGGGAGGTGGGAAGGTGGAAATCAACTTGAGGGGCCTGATCATTTGTTACAGCCTCACCGCGGCTCCCTGGCACATCACAACAATCATCATGGTAATCCACCATGACGGGTTCTCATGACATGCAAACCTGCCTTCTATCTGAGGTTTCCATGAACCTCAGGTTACATTTTCTTCCAGAAAAACTTGAGTCTGAATTTTTGGATGCCACAACTTCTCTTTCAGAAGAGTTTGTCTATGTTGACTAACTTCTAGATTGGAGAGCAGCTAATGCTTCTTTTAATCCTTTGTTTTGGCAATGGATAGCAGTTGCCTATGTTTGGAAGTTATAATGCGGAAGTTAAAGCCTAGTCAACACAAATGGATTTCCACTGTCCTTTTGACAGCTAAAAGACTGATATTGCAAAAACTGGAAAGATAAAAGCTCAACGCCTTTAACTTAATGGATCCAAGCAGTGCTTTCAGCATCTGAGTGGATGACAAGCAGATGCCATTCTCAAATGGACCGTTTATACAACTATTGGGTCTGCCCTTCTTGAAACTTATATATAACTGAAACATTTGGATTCATATTGTAACAGCCGTTGCTGTTGCTATTATTTTTTAATTTAGATTTTGTTTCGTGTTGGTGAAATACTCCATAAAAAATAAATGAAAAAGGGGGCTAAAGACCCCCTCCCTGCATTAAAAGCTCTCACCTTTGCATGAATGCTTCTGTGTAGCTGAATGAAATGGCTCTGTTCCATTTTCTAGTTGGTATCCTTCGATGCAGTAGCATTCATAGCTTCCAGCAGTATTCACACATCGTCCTCCCAGACCACAGATGTCTGAGATTTCACATTCATCAATATCTAGAAAGCATAATACATTTGTGAAATCTTTTTTACTGGGACTCAGAGAAATATGGAGTACAAGAGCAAAAATGCAACAGTGGTTGGTATTATATACAGTTTAGTTCCAAGGTAGAAAAAATAGATGATTTTAAAAAAAGTAAAAATATTGTGTAAATTTAAAATCAGATTTGAATCAAATCTATTTTAATCATAAATATATATGAAGTTTCTTTCCCATTTAAAGCATGATTCTCATCATAAACATTTTAACTTCCACTTAGGCATAATCACTGGATGGTGATGGCATTCTGTGCAGGGGCAGGTAAGTGTGGAGGGAAAGGTTGCCTCTGCACTCCTCTTGGCCTCCAACACACTTAGACATTTCATTATGGCTGTCAATCTGCAGTGCTTTGGAGCTGGGGGAAAGGAGGCTCCCTGGATATCTCATCATCATCCTGCTCTCAGAATACCCGCTAAGCTCCTTCACCGTATTCCCTGTTACAACCTTGGAGAAGCACCCACCTGGCTTATTTGTGTGCCAACTATGAGAAAGGGAATCAGAGAAGGGTTGCTCAGTTTCAAGGCTGAAACAATTTTCTGACCTCATGGCTTAGAATCTGAAAGTTCCTTTGGACACCTAGATATTGTATCAGTCTCATAAAAATGAAGTTACCTAACAATCAAATATGGGTTTTCATTTCAGTTTTTCATCTCATGAAACTACTAGCTTTCTTTTTAAAACTTGGGCTTTCAGTTTCTCTGACTAAAGCCACATGGGCAAGGACATACGAGAGTTGTGTTTGCTTTGTGCTTACCTGGTTGTGGAGTTGAACCAAGCAAGTCAGAGGGATTACTTAAGACAGCAGGAAAAAATAGCAAGATAAGGAGAAACTGATACTTCAAAAAATCGGACTTTTCTAAATTTAAATTGGATTTGAATTACTATTTTTGTACCAGAAATGTGAATAAAGTTTTCATTAATTAAAAAAATGTTTTAGTTGGTAGTTTGGAGTTGTGCAAGTATACAACTCTACCCAAAATGTGAAGCCTTGCATGGTCAATGTTCAGCTAGGTGCCTGCTGCCAAATAAGCAACAATTATGGATACGATGGAGTCAGGTTTCAAACACAATACCTTGGCTTCCTTTGACAGTGAGCTATCAAGTGCAACGCAATACACTGAGAAGAGCTTAGTTTCAGAAAAAGGGAGGGACCCGCTTCACAGCAAGGTCTTCCAGGTTTTAAGTTTGAACCTGACAGTTCTCCATGCCTTCCACCTTTCCCACCCTTTCCAAACCCTCCATGTCTTGGGAAAGTGAAAGTACAGCCCACCCCATTTACAGGGGCACTTACTTTGGAAAGCTATCAAACACAAGGATTTCTTTGAAAAGAGAAAAGGACTTATTTTAAATCATGGCTTTGACAGCCATGAAACCTCTTCATGTCTCTGTCAAAACCCCCCATTTGCTCCAGTCAGAAACCCTGTTTTAAAAGAAATCCCTATACACTGTTTGACAGCCATCAAATGAAAGGAACGAAATGCGTCTGAAGCCTGTATTTATCAATGTCCAGGGATGTTGCTTACCTTGACAAAAGACACTTAACAGGCAAAAATAGGCCAAAAAATGTAGCAGCTGTAAAAGAGAAGGCAATCAACCTGGAGAAGAGTGAGCCAGTTACTGTTGCTCCAAACTGCCATTCTGATGCTTGATGGAGGGTTTACCAGGAGTGGGGGGGGGGGGGATCTTTTTGCTGCTCTTGCTTGCTGCTGTTCACAACCCATGATTGGGCTGGCCACTCACATTCAGGCAATACAACAACCCATCACTGTTTAATTACCCCTAAAATAAGTCATGGGTTGTTAGTGTGGCTTGGTGGGGAAAACCAAGGTAAACTGTGGGAAACAGTCCAAGTTCACGACATGAAAACCTACCATATCTACTTACCCACAATGGGTTGCTATATCATACATACCCAGTCAAAATGAAACAGAATACAGTGACTTTGGAAATAAAAAGAGAAAACAAAAATTGCCCAGCACATAGCCTCCTGTATTCTGATACTAACACAAAAGTTGCAATCCTACATCAAGTCACCTTGGAGCAGCCTGATTAAATTCCAAGGAACCAACTTATGAGGAAGCATGTATAGGATTATGTCATTAACCTCAAACTGCCAGGGGTGCTGGTCATAAAAAGGCCCACATGAGATTATTTTAAAGATACGCCTCTATAGATGAAAAAAGGTAAACATGCAATATATATATATGTTCAAAGAAAGCGTACAGGCAATGGTACAAAGGTGGAAATAATTAGCATGGCTTAAACAGTCAAATTTTCACTTCTGTTTAGGAAATTTAAGAAAAATGGAAAACATTATATATATATGAATGATTTAAATTCACTTGTGTCATCAATGTACATAATACTTTACAGCAAAAGGTACATGAAAAAGAAAAGTCCCTGACTTGCAAAGCTTACAATACCCAGTGCAGTGCACTGGTAAACATTGGTCCAGTGACTGACTCTCAAATTGTCTTCCCTCACAGGGTTATTGTGCAAGAGGATTGTGCAAGTCAACTTGGCTCCTATGCAGGAACAAAGATGGGATATAACCATAACAAATAATAAGCAGTGGGAGAGACAACAAAGAAAGGGGAGGAGGGACAAAACAGTGTGAAGATGAGTATGTAGTTTGAGCTGAGAATGACAACCAGGACACGATGAAACAAGTGAAATTTAGAAAGACAGAGATGGCATCACAACCATGTTTGGGGAGGATGCTTCAGGCAAAGAAGAGGAGAAAAGGAAAACTGGTGAGACTAAAGGTGTAGGAAAGATGCAGATGGCTGAAAGAGCTGGAGAAGGAAAGGGCATGGGCAGGGACATATCAAGAGATATGGATGCGGCAAATGCATGGGGGAGCTTTAAAGTAAGCCAGGAGAAGTATTTACGTCAGGGCATTACACAGTAATATTGTCACATTTAACCCAGAAAGGGGGAGGCAAAACTTCTACCTCTGCTCTGCACACACCATTTGGTCAAATCAGTGATTCAAAACAGCACATGAACACACTGCGGTACTCGTAATTGTTGCCTCTGGCATTTTTGCTAAGAAAAATTCTGATTTAGCCATGTGCGTTCCATGCTCAAATAGCATAAAGTATGTGCATTAAAGTGAGAAACAGCTGATAGCTGAAAAACCAAAGTTGACAGTATCAAATGCTTTGTTTGAAAGGAATTACAAGGAAAGCAGCTAAAAATGCTAATGCCTTATGCTAGCTGTACTTACCTCTACAATTTGTGCCATCATTGGGAATAAATATCTTGTTTTTACTAGAAGCCTGGAAGCCGTCAAGACAAACGCAATAAAAGCTTCCATGTGTGTTATGGCATGAAGTATGCTCTCCACAGATTTTGCTTGTTCCAAACAGGCATTCATCTTTATCTAACAATATATTTAAAACACATGGCAAAGGCTGAACAAGCACACAAAATGCAATGAAAAGTACTTATATTATTCTCCATCAGCATTATTGTCTACTATTTTTAAAAAAATAGAAAGAATTTAATTCCCAGAAGCTATCATTTTTAAACTCTAGAGTGATGGCTAATGGCCCTGTCCACATATAATGCTGTTAAGATATTATTATTGTTATTATTAAATTATTTTATGTAAGACCCCATAGCCAAAACTCCCTGGGTAGTTTACAGAAGATCATGAAAGCTGTTTCCAGTTTCATGCACATACTCAACATTCTAAGATATCATACAAATAATTCATTAAATTCACAGTGAATTTTTAAAGTCCCCAATCTGCAAAGATGAAGCCACATAGTAAGTCAGTAGAAAGCTTTTCCACATCACAAAAGCTGCCCCATTGCACTATAATATCCATTTATAGACCAACGTTATAATGGTGGTTTCTTAATTACAAGTTCTTTATCATGCAATCAGGGGAAAAAACCCTAAACTATACCATAAAAAAGAACAAAAATATAACTTTACAATTTTGGAATAAAATGTACAAAGATCCATAGCACTAATTACATATATATTTCTATGTAATAATATGATGCAAAATAATTATGCAAAGACTTCAACAAAGGCACCCCAAATTTCTATATATCTGTAAATTATGCCTAAAGGCCACCCCTTCAAAAATTGAAAGTTTCATCAAATCCTCTACCCATTGTGCTATTGCAGCTGGACATTTATCTTTTCAGTGTTATAATACTAGTCTTTTAGCTGTCAAATGGTACAGAAAATCCACTTACATTGACCTTTCGTTAAATTCCAAAAAAATAATAGGTAATTCAATAGAACATGTGCATCGTTAAATATTAAAGAACTTTCTATTGAAAATGTATATGAATTATTACTTCCTCCCAAAAGGAAGCTGCCATTGGGCATTGCCAAAACATATGAAGAAGCACATTAAATTAAGTGTAGCCTAAGATTCATAATCCTGTGAAACAGACAATAAAGTATTCCATCCATCAAGCAAGATGGGGTGCACCAGTTCATTATTCCACTGTGGTATTATTCACCAGTAATAATTATTTATGCACATGAACTGCAGGCTGATGTAACTGTTCTGCCTCGATCAATGCTTCCAATAACACGGGACACTCTGAAACTGCAAAATCAGCAAGGCCAACCCTGGATTCAGATAAATGTATTATTGCACATATTGCCATGCAGCCATAGCTTGCAACTTATATTTAGCACTCAAGGATATTCATGGAGGAGTGGAAGTCTGTAACATTTATAAAATGAAACATTAAACCTCTGAAAATACTTACCACGTAAATACTTTATGTGGTATTCCTTTATTTTTGTGGTAAAGGAATACCACATAAACCATGAACCATTCTAGGTGTTACCTTCATTTTAAGTGTGGTTACTCTATCCATAGATATGACTTTATAGAAGTCCATCTGATGATCCTCATTAACCAACTTATTCAACCTTAATTGTGATATGTCACTTGGAACAAGTATTTGCAGATAGTTAATAGGTTCCAATAGACATACATTTCGACTTTGACCATTGAACGCCCCTCGTACCTCCTAATACAGTTGTGCATTTGGAGTGGTAGCAAGCTAATTTGAAACTTGAAAGGTTGAAACCTTTCTAACCTATCAAAGCTATCTGATCTTTTTAAAATTATTTTTTTATGAGACGCATAAGCAAAATGCACCTTCAGATGCAAGCTTTACTAGCCTTTCATTTAATCAAGCAAAAGTTGGCTGAACCCTCATTGATTTCAAAATCCCCACAATCACGTAATCCTATGTAATATTGAACAGTTTGCTGAAACACTTATGGAACATGGCTGGAGAGTCATGGGTAATCCAATACCTATGAACTAGAGTCATTATTTATTGTGTTTTCCAACCAGAATCAAAAACTGGCCATCAGGATGAATAATGTGTGTCTGTTACAGTGAAAACAATAGTTGCTTATGGATTAAAACTGCTACTGGTCAAAGTGTCTCCCACCCAGTCTCTTGTCAATTAATGTGTCTCTGCTGCTATCAGATGCATTTCCTGTAAAAAAAAAACCCACATCAGTTCCACACTCCTTTAACTTGGAAAACATGTTCTTCTGTTTAATTAGATTCCACAGTCCCCCGACAGTCCGCGAAGTGCAATTTTGAACATGCCATTATATAGTATTTGCTTTTGTACACGTACTCATCCTATTCTTGCTACAAAAAATTTATCATAGAGTACTTAAAAATATATGTTATGCAGACAGGACATTTCATAATACAGGACATTTCATGTGTCCTACACCTTTAATAAATGGAACCTATAGAAAAAAATTAATCAGTAAAACAATACGATATGGATATGTGTTCTATTAAGAATGCCTGTCATTTTAGGATGAAGGTATTGAATCTGATGGCCTCAAGCCAAGTACGGCCACACCCCTGTCCCCTAACTACCAATTGTTCAGTGGTTTCCTAGCTTTTGCACAGCTTTTTCCCCTTTGTCCCCTGCCTTTTCTAAGCTTATAAAATGGTAAAAGATCTTCTGCCTTTGACCCCGCCCATCACTGGAATGCCCCCCTGCAAGTGTTTCTCTCTCCTCCCCCCTGGCTGAAAAAGGCCCCACCCCCCCCCCCCCGCATTTAAGGGAGAACAATATCCTTGCAATCTGAAAAGTAACATTACAAGAGAAAAACAAATAACTCAGTGACTTTGTTCAATAAAGTTATGCTTGAAGTCCAAGCAGTTTTTCATGAGCTACTGTCTGCAATGGTGCAGATGAAGCCCTGGGCCATACCCCATATGATAACCCTAGGCCTGCTCCAAGGCTGCACCCAAGAATTCACTCAGGGCAGCCAACAGGCTCCGAGGGAAGGGTCTGGGTTAGGGTGCAGTCAGTCAGCAAAGAAGCCCAGCACACTGCTGTCCATGCAAACACAAAAATCACTTTTCTCCAAGTGACAAGCACAGAGAGGAGCTACTAGGTAGCAAAGACACAAGACTGACATCTCGTTTATGTCTGAGTGATTCCTCATGAGCAAAAGCATTCCTGGTGATGAGGATAAAAATATGTAAATTCACAAATCCACTGCCCATTTTAAATATGGTATTAAAAAACTGTGGCAACATGACATTTGGCCTGTAAATTGTTATAACAAACAGTTAAGGACATTTCAGGCAGACTTTACGTTTTTGCTACAGCGTTACTCAAAGCATGCTTTTGTCAACTTGCCAGAAATTGCATCCTGGTTTGCAAATGTCCACTTACCTTGACAGAAAGTCCTCCCATTCCCCACAAATCCATAATTACAGATACAGACATCTTTGCCATCTCGTTTCTGGCATGTGGCGTTAGCATGGCAAGAGGCACACACATCAGAAAGAACAGCATCTATAAAAATAAAGCTCTGTAAATTAGGGTTCCAAAAATAGTGAGCAATGCAATTCCAGAAATTTTCACTCTCCCAGTGAATCACGCTATAGTGCAGTTGCAGTAAGCACTAACTGCAATGGGTCTACTCAGGCACCCTGTTTCTGGGTGCACTAAAAACAGAATGGGGAGGACACTGGCCTTGCCCACTGACACATGGAGGGAAACCTTCTGAATGAGAATAGTTTCGATTTCTGATGGGGGTTCTCCATATGATTTGTTAGCTTGATCTTCTAGGGACAGGACATTTCTCCTTTAAAATGTCACATAGACAAAGTGATGGATGGATAAGCGAATGTGTTCCTCCTTCTCAGACATACAGTATATTCATGAACAGAATGCCTGGATGGGGCTATTATAAATTCTGAATCCAGGTTCTTAGAACCAAGGCAAATTTAATGAAGCAAGCATCTTCTCATCTCCAGCCTCAGCTGACATGCCTAGATGGGTCCATTTCCACAAAGTGCTAGAAAAAGGGGACAAGCAATGGCCGCTGAAGTTCTCCCAAGAGGCCAGAAATGGACAGTGAAACCTGGACTGGCACCTGGGTGGCCAGCCTGCCTGTGTCAATGCGGATCAGCTGAGCAAAGTTATAGCCAAGAGCACCAAATTTAGGTTTGTGTGTTCTCCTAGAATTACTCAGAACCCCTTGGTGCTGGTGGGATTTGGGGGAGGGGCACAATGCAAACAGCAGCTTTGGAGCTGCGGTTTTTCTGAGCCACAGCAGGGGAAGAAAGGGTTAAACCTCCCTTCCTTACAATCTATGAACCTAATAATCTTATCCCCCATGAGGTTGCTATCTGAATGTGTATGTTTTAAAAATCACTTTGAGTGCAAAGAACTTGACAATGTTTAGCCTCGACAATGATGTAACTGCCAGCTGCTGATGCTGGTGATGCACAAGCCTATGGAAGCCTGCCTGAAGCAAATGGCATCTGCACAAGAGCACCTGTTCCATTTGTTTCTGCAAGGCGTGCAAGGAAGAAACTCCCCAACAGGGTCTGTCCCAAATTTGCCCACAAGAAACAGAGTCTATTCTGGGGTACACTGTCACTGAACATAAGAAATGGCTCTTTATCTCTAAGGGTAAAGGGGCAACAATGTGTGTTTAAACAAATCTTGTAATTTACTTTTTCGGTCTAAACAAGCATAGGACTGCACCCTATAGCTGTATTGTTTATCACTGCTCTTCACAATGCAATATAAAATGAGATTGTTGTTGTTGTTAGTTGCAAAGTCATGTCCGACCCATCGCGACCCCATGGACAACATTCCTCCAGGCCCTCCTGTCCTCCACCATCTCTCGGAGTCCACCCAAGCTCACACCAACTGCTTCATTGACTCCATCTAGCCACCTCATCCTCTGCCATCCCCTTCTTCTTTTGCCATCTACTGTTCCTAGCATTAGGCTCTTCTCCAGTGAGTCCTTCCTTCTCATTAGGTGGCCAAAGTATTTGAGTTTCATCTTCAGTATCTGGCCTTCTAAAGAGCAGTCAGGGTTGATCTCCTCTAGGACCGACTGGTTTGATCACCTTGCAGTCCAAGGGACTCGCAGGAGTCTCTCCAGCACCACAATTCAAAGGCCTCAGTTCTTCGACACTAAGTCTTCCTTATGGTCCAACTTTCCCAGCCATACATTGCAACTGGGAAACTATACCCTTGACTATACCCTTGCCTTTTAATTTCTTGGCTGCAGTCCCCATCTGCGGTGATCCTGGAGCCCAGGAAAATAAAATCGGTCACTACCTCCATTTCTTCCCCATCTATTTGCCAGGAAGTGAGAGGACCGGATGCCATGATCTTAGTTTTCTTAACGTTGAGTTTCAAGCCAACTTTTGTGCTCTCCTCCTTCACCCCCATCAAGAGGCTCTTTAGTTCCTCTTCACTTTCTGCCATTAGAGTGGTATCATCTGCATATCTGAGGTTGTTGATATTTCTCCCATCTTAATTCCAACTGGTGATTCATCTAGCCCTGCCGTTCTCATGATGTGCTCTGCATATAAGTTAAATAGGCAGGGTGACAGTATACAGCCTTGCTGAACTCCTTTCTCAATTTTGAACCAATCAGTGGTTCCGTGTCCAGTTTTCACTGTTGCTTTTTGACCCGTATATAGGTTTCTCAAGAGACAAATAAGATGGTCTGGTACTCCCATCTCTTTAAGAACTTGCCACAATTTTTTGTGATCCACACAATCAAAGGCTTTAGCATAGTCAATGAAGCAGAAGTAGATGTTTTTCTGGAACTCCCTAACTTTCTCCATGATCCAGCATATGTTGGCAATTTGATCTCTAGTTCCTCTCCCTCTTTGAAACCCTGCCTGTACTTCTGGTAGTTCTCGGTCCACATACTGCTGGATCATGGAGAAAGTTAGG